AGGCCTTAGCTGGGGAAATTCGGGCAGGCTTTCCTCAGATAAGAGTCTTCACTTTCATGGCCCTCAGAACACAAGCTTGCAAAACATGTTGTGCTTCTCACTTATTCGGAGCTCTTGCACATTCTTTCCCTATTTATAGTGTTTGCTTCATGGCAGGCTCCAGCGGAAGTCCTGGTATAACCTTATGCCACCCCTGACTTCAGAGTTTCTTAAGTGCCATCTTTAAATCTTATGAAAATACCCAACAAAATCAGTTTTTGTTAGATACGGGTGAGAAATAAAAGCCTGAACAATTTTTTGAAAGTAATTGATGCATATGTAACTTCAAATGATTTAGTTTTTAAAACTACCATCAAAGTGGTTTTTTATGTTTGTTTTCTTCCCATTATACTTTTGAAACACAGTATCTAGTGGAGATAAAAGTACTGTAAAGTTAATTTGAGTGCCACTACATTAAACACATGAAAATTAATGGTGTGGTGTGTCTTTTTTTTTTCAAAATAGAGATGGTAACCAAATTGAAGTGGTTTATGTGGTCTGTTTTGAACATTTTGACCACTGCCTTTTCTCTGAATGAGATGATGGAGTTGACAGGGAGAAGAGAGTGGGGCTGAAAAAAATGTGGTTATTTCACCTGGTATGTATTTTTTTTGAGATGTTTGGAATGGTTTGGAGTTCAGGTATTATGTCGTTAAACAAAGCAGGCAAAAAAGTCTGTGCAAAAGGACTTTTTTTTTTCTGAGAAGCAGGGGCTGTAAGAGCTGAGAGCTTCTGCCTGGATGGAGCTGGTGGGTCGCTGCCTGTGCTCTGCCCTGCTGAGGTGTGTGAGGGCAATGTGGCCAGCACTAGAGGCTTGGAGTGCCACAGGGAGTCTCAGGTTCTGAAGCCAAGGTCAGGTGCTGTTGTGCTGATTCACAAGATTGCTTGAAAGTTCTTGTTTTCTGGGTCAGATCTTTAAAAGGTGGAGGGTGTGAAAATTTTGGGACTTGGTTTGTCTCATCTGGCCATTTCTCCTTAGAATCATCTTCCTTGGAACCCAAGCACTGTCATCTTGATAATGCAAGCCTAGATTTTGGGGACTAAATGTTAGAAACAATGTATGATCTGTGTTATAGTTTTATGGTGAGAAGTGTAGGGGTTTTTAAAAATTATTTGTAAATTGAAAACTTACTAGAAGTATCTGTTTGACTTAAAAGCCATGAGTAGAGTTTTATCAGCTGTGGCACGTATAGGGCTCCTTTCAGAATAAATGCTGTTCAGAGGATTGTTTGGCTCTGGCAGCTGTTGTGGTTGAGCCTGACTGGTCTGCCCTCAGCTAGTGAGTGATTCACACAGCCGTGCTGCTGGTTTTGCTCCTGTGGGCACCTGTTCCTTCAGGAATGGGCAGAGACCAGCCCTGTAGAGGCCACTTAGCAGTTGTGATATCCACTGACTGTCAGTCACTCCTGGTACAGGTCTGAATCAATTCTAGGCTATGGCTGTGCTTCATCCTTGATTCCAGTTCCTTTTTTGAAAAGTTTTTCAAAACAACAAACTTTCACAAAATCAAACAAAAAATTGACACAGTAATTTAAAAAAATACCAAAGCTTAACAAATTTGCTTTGAAGTAATGTACTCCAAAGCTAAATTTGGGGCATGTTACCTATTATGCAGTGACATGGGATTCAACAGCACCTATTTTATGAACTACAGTGGCACTGAAATTAACATTACTGCTTGTGTTCCTGCTGAGGTTGCAGTCACACCAAAAGATGGTGTGGAGATGCTCATGTCCCTAGGGATGGCCGCAGGATTCTGCCAAGACTCTGAGACACTAGATGGAGATGGCAGACTGTCTTGTCCAAGAAGCTCTTCTGGGACAGTCCACCAAAGAATGAATGTGACTCTGGTATTAATATATCTTTTTTGTGTATTTGCATGAAAAAGGAGGGGGTTGTGCTGGGGGTTATCTTGACTTGTGTTGCTGGTCTGTTGAGAATCTGACTTGTGTGTTTCTCTAGGCTGTCAAAAACTGGTGCTCTTCTCAAAGGCATCCATGAGGGGAGAGAGGTGTCTGACACACTTTTGCTCAGCCTGACACCTGATCTCCATGAGCAGCTGGGAATGGGTGCTGACAACTGGCCCGGTGGTGCTGGTGCAGTGGAGCTACTGACCACTGCTGATCACTGATGTTAATATCTGGCTCTGTTACTAGCTGAAATCAGGAACCTGTCTTAGGTGGGCTGTAACATCTCATATATTAAGCTGCAGAATTCAGCCAGAAGCAAAAGCAGAGACTGTTATTGCTACTCCAGATAGTTAGGCTGGATTTAGAGGAAACAGAAGTAGAGTATATTGAATAGTATACATCAAGGGATCCTGAAGCTATACCTGTGTTGATGCCTTATGAAGATTTTTCTAATGCCACATTGAATGTTCTTGTTAAGCACCATTTATTACTAAAATTTTATCTAGATGCAAGAAAGAAAATGAAGTGTTAGTGGTTACTTGTTGGATGTTATTGCCGTTTCTGTTCATCTCCAACTGATGTAGGAAAGATGAAGTGAGCTATCTGGAGGTTACAATAGAGTTTAACCCATTTTACTTTAGGACTTGGAACTTGCAAGATTTTTAGCCTTCAATATGCAGGATTTTAGGTGGTGATCTAAATGACAAGTTGTGTGTTATGGCCACATGGCAGTAGTACCATACCTGTCTATTCTGTGCAGCAATAGGCACTTCAGGGAACTCACATAATAAAGTGGAGCTGAAGTGCCTGTGTGGTAGCAGCGTTTGCCAGACTCCACCTGCCTGAAGCAGGGGAACCCATTGCAGCACAAAAATCATTTATGTTGAGCATGCAGAGCTCCAGCTGAGGAAGAAGGTGCTCTCTGCCCAAATTGCTTAATGAATCCCAACAATTAATTTGATTCAGTCCTTCTGCTTTAATACGTGAATTTTTGCATTGAAAGGTGTTTTAAAATAACATGGATCTTCAGTCTGTCAGGCAGCCAATGCCTGCTTGGGTGGGTGGTTCTTCCACCTCTTGGTAGCTCGAACTTGGAGACAGGTGGGGAGGCAGGGCAGAGGAAGAGCTCAGACTGTTGCTGGGAGCAGAGTGCAGATGTTATCACTTGTGTACAAACAAATTAAATCATTACCTGTGCAGATGGAGCATAAATATAGCTTGCTTCTGCTGGGAGCTGAATGCAGAGTTTGTGGCTTGGTGGTAGAAATGTTATTACTATGAGCAACACATATTGTCTTCACCTCTTACACAGTACTCCCCTCTGGTTTTTTTCTGCTTTTGGTGACTGATGACTCTGCTCCAGTTGCTGTATTTCCCCCATTTGGCAGTGGCTATAGCAGTTATGTTTCTACTTGCTTTGCAAATTTCTATCAATTGACTTTAGTCCATACATACAAAACTTATTTTGCAAATCCAATTTAAATGGGTTTAGGGTTTTTTTTAATAGCACAAACCATTTAATTTCCTCCTGCCTTTTGCATATCCTGTTGAGTTAGCTACATGTGCAGCATGAGGTTTTGTACTGGTTTTCTGGTTTATTCCATCTGTGGGAGGACAAATGATACCTAATTTGGCATAAAGTGAGACAGGTGCTGGCAGATTGTATCTTATTTAAAAGCTGCTGATATAAATTTAATCTAAAAATTTTTGGTAAAAAATATCCCTGGCAGAATAAGTTGGTCTAATCAGCACTTAGCATGATAACCTTGAAGCTTAAAGATGAAATAAACCTGAAACCCTGCCCAACCAAACCCAAAACCAGTACCTTTGTGAGTGTGAAGGTTAACCTGAGCAGGGTAAATATTTTACACAATGTCTTCTGTGTTGAGGGAAACAGAGTTTTTAATAAATGATAAATAAATATCTGTAAGAAGTAATGGAAGGAAGTGGCTGGAGCACTTATAACTCCACAGGTAGATTTATGATTGCTAAAATAAGAAAGATTTATTTCAATTTATGGGTACCTAATGAAATCAACATAGGGCACTCTATGAAGTTATCCCTTTGGCAACTGAGTATTATTTACACTTTCTAAGTACTGTTTTGCATCTGCCCAGATTCTTGCATCAGCTTATGTATCCTTCACTGGCTATGAGAATGCAAGGAGTTATCATGAGTTATTGCTGCTTAGACCCACAGTAGCTTATTGCACACTCATAATTCAGTCACGCGTTTGAGCCCTGACCTGAGTTTCACATAGTTACATAAATAATCTGATATACAGCCATGAGGAGAGGCCAGATTTCTTGACTCCTGACATTGTACTCTTATCATGAAGTTGTTCTGACTATTCAATCAGGTTCTGCTTCCTGAACAAGTGTCAAATTAACAGACTGCTTCAGGTAATGTTTTTGGCTGTGTTACAAAACATGTCCTGTGTATGAAGAGCTTCTATTGAAAATAATGTGGTTTTTTTATGTGTGAACCTTTAATGAAGAAGATAAAGGTAGTTATTTTCATATCTGTGGATTTACAGTAATTTAATTGGTCTAAAATTGGTCCAATTTAATTGGTGTACTAAAAAGAATGTGGATGGAATAAACTGCAAGCTCAAAAAGACTATATTTGAAAACGGTGGATTGTGTCATAAAGAATGGATAAGAATGGAGAATGGGCAATTTGTCACAGAGCATCACAGCTGCCCACTAAGTGGTCTTGATTTTCCAAGGAGAGTGCATTTGAAAGAGGGTATATGACTGCATTATTGCATTTATGTGCTGCAGGACTCCTGTGGATACATATTATTTATGCCTGTATGCAGCATTTCCAGTAGGTGGCTGACTGTCACTTCACACTGACTTAAGTACTGTAAAATAACAGCTGTCACACCTCATGAGACCCACAGTCTATTCCAACAATGTCATAAATCTGTTTACTTGCTGTCCATGAAGCCTAAGAACCACAGAAATGCTACATGGCACAGCAGTACTCTATGAAATAAGCAACAAGCCATCTTTAGTGCATTTTTTTTTAAGGCATGCAATTCTTTTCCAGGCAAACAAATACACAAATTACGCTCAGAAAATATATTAGTCGCTTAACATAGTCTAGAAATACAGGCTTGTTTCTGTTGTACATGCCTAAAGGTTTTACTCCATTTCAAGCTGATATGTACATCCGAGGTGATTCTGACCAGAAAATTGTCGATTTTTTGCTTGTTTTGTTCATTTTTAATAAGCAAATTATTTGACAAGCTGATCTTTCTGTAGATACTGTGTTTCTTCTTCCTGAAACTGTTATAAAGAGCTGCTGAAAGAGGGGAAGAAAGTCACCTCTGAAATTTTGTTGGATTAAAAATGTGAAAAAGAGAAAGGGTGATCACTGTAAGGGTGGTCTCTTCACATTTATTGTAAAAGTAAATTAACAATATCAGTGATTATTTTTACTTCCAGTGAAGCTTGGATGATTAAACAGTGAGGTGGCAAGTGGAGATTGAAGTAGATGAATGTAAGGTGATGTTCGTGGGGTAAGACAAAAATTAATGAGCCTAGATTTGATGATCAGTGTTAGCAAGACCTTGGAGTTGTAGGGCACAGGTCCAGGAAAACATCAGCTCTGGGTCTAGGAGAAAAGAACAAAGCAAACCATATTTTAGGAAGGAGTAACTAATGAAGAGAATGTAGTTATGCCACCATATAAGTCCATGGTTTACCTAACCCTTGACTCTGGCCAGTTCTGATCCCCTAATCTTCAACACACAATGTTAAAACTGGAAGGCATTTGGAATATGGCCACAGGAATAATTAGATGAAAGAATTTGCATGTGAGATTCGACTGAGTAGTTTATCTTCAGCCTTGAGTAGTGGCCATGGGGTGATGCACAGGCCTCGTCAGTGGTAATGAGGTCATGAACAGATTGACTGTTCACAGTCTTTTGGGCTACAAGGACCAGTCAGTTCCAGAAAAAGAAAGAAAGTTGGCAGTTCTTCATACAAGAGGTAGTAGACTTAGAGAATTTGCAAAGAATAGGGTGATGACAAGACTGTGAGAGCGGTTCAGGTTGAAACTGGGCAAATCTTGGAAGAGTTTTCTCTTGGGGTTTAATAAACATATAAATGTCTTCAAGCCCAGGAATTTCCTGAGCAGAAAATATTTGGAGGAGTAGAAGGGAACACCAGCAAATGTGCTTGCCCTGTGCTAACCATCCAAGGGGTTTGCTAATGGAATAGTTGAGGAAAGAGTATTAGACTTGAAGGACCTTTGGTTTGAGCTAGTGCAGTCGTTTCGATGCATTAAGACTCTTAAAATTCCATACTATTTTAACATTTATTAATAATTTTGGGTTTTTTTATACTCACTTTTTTTTAATATACTCACCGTCCATCTTGTTAGTAAGCTGCCTTCTAGCAAGTGTAATTTTACAGGTGCATTCATGCTCAGCTTGATGGGATGTCCTCTGGCAGATACAGCTGTCTATCTTCTGTCACTCTTAATTCTGTTTTAGTACTGTGATTTTTCAGGACAAATTCTGACTGCACACTTAGAGTTATTCATTAATGTTTTTTAGTAGAAGAAAGAACTTTAGTCTTGTTCTCATTTTTTCACCTGTATTGGCAATTTCTTATGACCTAAGATACTGTGCCTGGTCTTTTGACAGCTAGATTGTAAAATCAATGGATAGCTGCAAGTTGCACAATCTGAATTCTATAGATTATGATTAAAGAGAAAAATTAAGGAATTAGATTGGGTTAAAAGAAAGGCAAATATATTTGAATGAACAGCAGAGGAATTTGAGTTCTATTTTCATTATTTTTGGTGGTTTTTTGCACTCTGCTAGAAACACGTATACTCAGGAGTATGGAAAATAGGGAGCACACACAGACACACACACACAGACAGACACAAAGTGCCTTGTGCTGCTGCTTGGTGGCTGTCAGGCCTCCCAGGCACTGTGCACCGCTGTGCTCCGAGTCGCTATCTCTGATGCAGAACTGTAAGCACAGATACAGCCATGCATAGCTGTGAGATATGGGAGTGCTGTCACACCAAAGGGTGTCCTGTCCCCCAGCCATCTGGAATTAGTGATTGTTTTGAAAGAGCAGCAGAGCAATGCTGAACTAAGTTCCCAGAGACACAGATATGTCCTAGTCTGGAAATACTGGAGCAGGGGTGGAGAAATCCCAGCTCCCAGCACAATAATGCCCTGACAGCAAGGATTTCTGATAACACATTGTTTTTCTTCTCAAGTTTCATTTATTTATCACAAGCTGCAATTGTAAGATATTAATCCTCCAGGCACAGGAGCAAAGTCAATGTTTACCAACCCTGTAGCTAATGATATACTGGAAACCTCAGCATATTTTTGCTTAGCACAGAGCAACACAGTGACTACAGTAGGCACCTAGAAGACAGGAAGCAAACTTTGCCTTAGATATGCAAACAGGTCTAGGGAGGGGATTCATTGGAAGTTCATTCAGGATTGCTCTTGCTTGTTCTTTACCACCTATTTGCAAGACCCTACCTCCAAGTTGTCATCTGGACGAGGGAAGGACAAAAATCCCTCTGGAGGGGTTCTCTAGCAGGGGTTAGGAAGCTTTCTGAATCCCTGGAGTGACCATCAGCACAGCAGTCTGTGCTGGGGGTAAGCATGGAAAACTTCAACTCCACTTAATCTTGAGCCTGGAGTTATTGACAGGGATGGGCAAGAGACATATCTGAGAAACAGAACTAGGCAAGGATCCAGTGATTTGTGGTCACTGCCAATTCTTCCAGTTACTCAGAACAAGGCTGGTATGATTTAAGCAAAGCCCTGCACTATAAGTGTGGGAGTCTGGGAGTCTGGAATCTCTTCAATCAGAATGAAGCAATGACTTGTTTTAGTTTAACAGATAGAGGAAGCTTTCCATGAAAATACTTCTACTACCTAATTTTTCTTTCCTTGGACAAAAGGGTGCATGAATAATCCCATGGACTAGAGGATTTAAATACAATGAGTGATTTATATGAGAGTTTGGGCAGTTCAGGGCCTTTTCCCTGGGGCACTGTAAATTGGCCAGAGTTACTTCCAAGTAAAGTATGGTGGAGAACTCTCAGGTTATTGCAGGCTGATGGGACCAGGGGATTTGTGAGTCACAAGGTGCAAGGCTGGGAACTGAGAAATCAGCTTAATGTCACAGACAGCCTGTGTCATCAGCAAGTGTCCAACATTTATGAGCAATCCCATTGTCTAGAAGTGCAGGTAGGTGATTACAAGTATCTCTTACAGCAAGTTTTTAGGAGAATGTATCTGTTAAAGAAGGTGGAAAATGAAGGTGAGTGTGAAAAATGAAATGTGGTGAGAGGGTCTAGAGCCTGGTTCACAGCCCCACTGAGTATGCACTTTTCAGTATGAAGTCTGTGCTCTATGTGCACTTGCTGATAGCTCTCATTAAGAGTTAAACCACCCCTTGGCACCATACTTTAATCCTTGAATGGCAAAGATAATAACTTTATATGATTTTTTTTACAATATGCATCTCTGTTAAGCAGTACAGTTCTTGTGGGATTCACCTAAACAGCAGTAGGGGCAGGAGTCCCCATGCAGAGGCAGGCTGGCTCCATTAGCATTGTTGCCAGACTTGCAGAACTGCTCCTAAGCAGAGGAGACAGCTCTCAGGTGCTCACATCTGCCTGTTTAAGGAATGCAGATGCCCTTCAGGGTCTTCTTCAAAGCACCAGTGGAACCATCTAAGTCCAACCTGAATGCTTTCCTTGACAATGTAGCCTGAGGATGGGAGCTGGTATGTGGGGGTGTACTCTTGGCCAGGAAGAGATATAGGAAAGTCCAAGGGACTTGGAGAACATTTTTTTTAAAAGGTCACATCTTTTCAAAGAACTACATAATCTATTTTAAAGAAATCCATGTGAAACAAAAAGGGAGATTGTTTAACCCTTAGTTTTATAATAAACTAATGATTTTCCTGATATAGATTTCCATCTGTAAAAATAAATATCTTTTCTTAGCACTTCAGTAATGAAAGGAGAATTATCCTCAGTACTTCCAGATTTGCACTTTGACCTAACAAGAAATTAAAACTAGATTTTCAGCATATTTTCATACATAACTTGGTGTGCTAATAGTACCTTACCAGTCCTGTTCAGTTTAGAAGGACCATCTGAATGAATGCTGTTATCCAGGAAGTGATCCAAAAAAAAAGGAGGTGCTCCAAACACTCCTGAACTTTCTGGTAAGACTTGTTTAAAAACTTTCTGGAAACAGGGGTTTACCTGGCAGCTGAAGGGAATAGCAAATGAGCATTCCACAGTGGCTCTCCAAATATCTCAGGCACAGCTTTACTGACAACTCTTTTTATCAACTTCAGAGCTATCACACCTTCAAAAGAAAATAGGCCGTACATGGGTTTATGAAATGCTGAAAGGCAACATTGATTTCTTCCCAATCCCACACTGCAGCTTCGTAGGCAAACAGCACATACAGTGGACCTGCACAGGCTTCAATAGTGTCCTCAGAATACAAAGAACCAGTCTGAACTGTGCCAGCTCTGCCTTGAGGGTAGTCCAAGGAGATGGGTTAGAAATGGATTTGCACAGTTTTTCAGCCTCAGGTTTCTGGAGATCAGCCAGGCTTTGGCATACTTGAAAGCAATTAGGGAAAACAAAACAAAACAAAGAGCAGGTCAATGTAATATTGCTGAGAGCTTGGCACAGGCCATTTATTGTCTGAATTAACCTTTCACACCATTTTTTGATAAAGTTGGTGTTGTGCTGCTGAGAAAACATTTTTTCTCTTCTTTGTGAGAAGAATCTGAGACTGAATGTTTCCTGAGGCCAGGCCAAAAAAACAAAGAGAAGGAAAACAAGAATGTGTTCCTGGAGGCCAAGGTAAGAGTCAGGCTGGGGCATCCTGTCTTTAAAAGACTTAAAGCACAAGCTGCTACAGTGAGGAATAAACCTGGCATTCCTTTGGGTACGGCTAGCCAACTGCCTGCATTTTGTTCTTTTCTGTCCATGGCAGCTAAAACCAATGTGGCATAAGAACGGCAAAGAATCAGGAGCTTAACTAATTACACAGTCTCTGCTGGCAAACCCACATTAATTCTTCTAAGCCTGCACTCTCTTTAGTGGTGCTCTCCTGCTGCAACACATGAAAAATGTGAACTGCCAGAAGCCTTTTTTTACATTAGCAAAGAGGAGGTTATTGATGTGGCTGTATTGAACTGGAGGTGGAAGGGGCGAGGGAGGTGTGTGAGGCTCTGCATTCTCATCTCCAGGAACAGTTACAATGGCAGAAGAACATCAGCTTTCAAAGACAAAGCTGAAATCTGAAGTGGGATGAGAATTAAAACCCACAGCATTTACTGATGAGATTTTTATGATAAAAATACAAAAGGGGTTTTTTTAATATGTGGAATGTACATTTTACGTCTCATTTAGGGTCTTTCAATGAAGTTTTCCAGTTTCTAGCTGGGCAGTTTAAAATCAAGACATCATGTGTTTCATGCTTTGCAAAAAGTCTGAAAAACTGAAGCTCCTGGAAAGCATCATTTTAACATTTCACCACTGGATGGAGACAGCACTCCAACTCTTGTGAGTAATTACTACCGGCTCTGTAATGAAATGCCTTGTGTTTAAGAGACTGAATAATTAGTGGACTGCAACTACAAACAGTGGAACACTAGCTAGATTTATGGCAGAAAATATATTGAAGGCACATCCCCCAGATTTGAGCTTGACCTATTTTTATGGTGAGAAAAGACAAGATTTAGCTGAAAAAAACTAATTCTACTTCTCCCTCCACATAAAGCATCAATGACACAGACTAGCAAAAAACAAAGGAAGTAAAAGCAAAGCTTTTTAGGACCCTTTCTATCTTTCCCCAGGTCACATTGTATTTTTCCTGACAGGAGGATCCTTCAGCCCTTTGTGGGTCTGGTATTGAGGGCTTGGTGCTGCAAGTAGCAGCTCTGGTTTCTCCAGCAGTGGTTGTAGTGGATGTCATGTTGCAGTGAAGAGCCTTCCTTACTTGAAACTAGCAGACAGGAGGTCACTGGAGGGGAAGATGCAACAAAAGGAATTACCACCATCTTGAGGGTTGGTAGGAAAATTTTCAGAGATTACTGCAGTTCAGGCATGATAGCATAGATGGGGGACAGCCTGCCCTATCAGGGTTAGTTTCTCTCACAAAGTATGTTAAGACATTAACACACATTTTCTTCTCTCTTTGTGTATGTGTGTATGCATATGAAGCTCATGTGCATGAGAGAGGGAGGGGGAAAGCCCTGTGGTGGATTTTAGCTCAGTCTCTTATTTAATCATACTGGGTTTCTCTGTTGTTAGCTATAATTTTTGAATTTTTTTTATTTTTTTTTTTTACTATTTAAAGACAAATAAATGAATCCAAAGATAGTTAAATTCTTATGAATTTTCTGAAATTAGCCAGCCAGATAGGTTGGACACTCTTGAAATACCCAGATTAAAGGCTGTAGA